TTTACTTGTTATCTAACACACTTCCTTCTACATCATACACCATCATTATACATGATGGTGTATATAGGATATATATATTTGTATACATATCTGTAAATTGTATAATTTTATTTAAACATCTTTTTGATCTCTCAAACTGAGTAAGATTGACAATAAAGTTGACTTTGAAAAATATATATATATTCTTTATGAAAATAGTTGACTGTTGTCAAATGAATCCAAATGAAACGTTGGACTGAACTACAACTACGCCTTTAAATCTCTACGGACTGTTTTTCAGTGGGATGGCAAGTTCCTATCTTTAAACATTTATTAGTTTTTTCTCAGAACAGATTTGATTTTCTGAAGTTAATTTAACTTTGCCGACCATGTAAGGTCATTATTAAAAGGTACAATCAATTTGTTTATGGTTGACTAAAATAATGAAAAACATTTCATTTGGATAATTTACTGACAGAATAAGAAACTCAATGATGCTCTACTCACCTGTTCCCTTTTTATAAAGTGAAACAGTTGAAATTATAGATTTTAGTAAACTTAAAAACAACCTTCTCCAAAAGCTATCAAGGAATATACCGAATACTTGTTTTAGAACTTTATTACATATTTTTATATAAATAGTTTGAATGATCCATAATTGACAGAAGCTTGTGTTTACACTGACCTGTTACTCATATATTAATGTCTTTGTAACTTCAGTAAACCACTACCTCACTTATTTCACTTTCATTCATCACGGTTCAGTAAACTAAGTGATACATGAACCAGTTTAATCATTATATATATATAACCCACAGGTTCTCTCAGCGCTGGACGGGATGGCAACACGACTGCTTCAACCTAAGAACAGCAAAGACTGATGACCCTTAAAATAAGGGAAAAGAAACTACATACCAACACATACACACCTTTTGTATAGCTCCTTTATTATTTATTGGTAATTGTCTTTTTTCTCATACTAAAGCCAATTAGGGGCCGGTGTGTAGGAGCCATTTTGTGGGTGATGTTGGTGTGTCAGTTTATTTAAGTTATATGTATAGTGCAATATTATTTATGAACACTGGGTGGCGGGGTTTAGCTGCACCGGGTGTATATAAGGAGGTCATAGGTGACAAGAGAGGTGGGGACACAGTAGGAGAAGAGCATACCGATTCCACCAGCCCGGCAGATGCTCATAGAATCACTAGAACGCTAAATTAACCCTGGTATGTAAAGACGAATAAACATCATCATAAACCACAACTAAGGACCGGAAAATCATCTGTTTGTGTCTGCGTCTGGATCACTTTTCAACCCTTCTGTGAAAGTAACGGCAAAAATATATAGGACATAGGAAAAGGAAATTGCCATTACAATAAGTGGAATCGCACTTTTGAGTGAAACTGGACAATTGGATTCACTTCAAATTGGATTAAGGATCGTTTTCGGGGAAAACAAATAATTGGATTATTGCACCATAGACTTCTCATCACGGATCAGCTGCACACGCCACAATCAGCTGGAGATTGTTCCCACCTGCGAGGACCGAAGAGGCTGAGAGAGGACTGGGAAAGCGGCCGGGTATGTGCACCGTGCAGCGTGATAAGTAGATTGTAAAAGAGATATTAAGCTGTATTGGACAATGGCTTAGTAAATGGAGGTGGTGCTGCAACATTGTCAGCTGTTTGAAACAGCGCGCTGTCAGCTAACGGACAATTCCTGAGAACGAAACTTAAAGGGACAGTGAACATTAATCATGTCTGTGACATCTGACGTCACGTCACAAGATGGCGCTGTTGGACTGCAATCTGTGAGAGACAAAAGGATTATCACTCACACTGCCAAAGGATTGGAATTGTTTATTGCAAACTGCCAAAAAGCAAGAAACTTCAGTTACAAACAAGTAAAGAAGTTAATGGAAGTACTGAAAGAGCTTATGAGCTCAGAAGACAATGCAAAGGAAATACAGTTGAAACTGGTTGAATTTAAGAAGTTGTGTGATGAACTAAAAGAAAATCACAAATCATTAACTGACCTTCAACTGCCTGAAGAAGAAATGGGAAAGCAAAGGCAGTGGCTGCAAGAAAAGATGCATATATTTGATGGATTTATACAAGATGCAAATGTGTGGTTATCTGAGAATGGACAGGCAATTAGACACTCTATTGTGGGAAGTGCCATAGAACAAAGTGTCAGCTCAGATGACATCGGACCTGATGACAGCATTTCAAAGGCATCACACCCTCAGTCAAAATACAAACCTGGTTCATCACACGCATCATCTACCTCTTCTGCTCGAATTAAAGCCCAGGCAGAAAGGGCGGCTTTAATCGAAAGGGCGGCAGCACTGAACAAACAACATGAGCTTGATGTAGAAGGGGAACAATTAAAACACCAGAAACAACAGTTGGAACAACAGAAACAACAACAGTTGGAACAACAGAAACAACAACAGTTGGAACAACAGTTGGAACAACAGTTGGAACAACAGTTGGAACAACAGTTGGAACAACAGTTGGAACAACAGTTGGAACAACAGTTGGAACAACAGTTGGAACAACAGTTGGAACAACAGGAAGAACAGGTGAAACGGAAAAAGGAACAACTGGATATACAAACTAAGCTGGCAGAAGCCAATGCCAGGCTAAACGTGCTCAGCATGGGATCAAGACACACCTCTAGAGCATCAGATGGGATGAGCTCTTACTACAGAAACCCTACAGCAAGATTTAACGTACAGGCCACTGAATTCTTGCCTCATCAAGCCCAAACCTCTATTCCCAGACAAAGTATACAGACACATGTGCAGGGACATGTTGACATCACACCACCTGTAATCAACAATGGTAATCAAGGTGACATCTATAACCTAATCCAGAGGCAAAATGACAACACTGCTATGCTGGCTCAACAACATCTCACTTCTACTTTACCTCCAAGAGACATTCCTGTTTATGACGGTGACCCATTGCAGTTTGAAGCTTTCATCCGTGCATTTGAAAGAGGAGTAGAGCGGAAAACTAATGATGAAAGTGACTGCCTGCATTACCTAGAGCAATACACTAGAGGACAATGTTAGAGATTTGGAGGGATAACTGGTCCGCTTTTCAAATCTCCGCGCGTTCCTATGAAGCTGGTTATAATACAGGAAGGAATCCATATCTACAAAGTAACCGTTAACAATAATCTACTTTAATGGCAATATGACAATGCAATACAATCATTACAATACAACATGATATATTACAGTTATATTGCAATGCTTAAGGAGTAATGCCGGCTTACTCCTGCTCTAGTCTGCATACTACAGAGCTACTTTCACCCGAGGGCAGCATGTGAAGAAGAGGCCGAACGCCAGGGATCCACCGGAGATATACCAGAGTAAGAAGGAGGGGTTTGGTGTTAGGTCAGCTGGTCATCTTTTCAGGTCATCTCATTGGGAGACGCAACGCAGCAGGAAACGCAGCAGGAAACCAAACAGGCTCACTTTACAACAAAAGGTCTCAAGGCCTGCATACCTACACCTCCCCCACAGAGCCATAAAACCCTGTTTACTCCAACCAGCCCAGAATGTTTATAGCCATTTGTAGTCCTTACATTTATGAAAGGATAAAACAGAGAAATCAATATAAAACACAAACACAGGTATTGTTTGAACAGTATTCACTTAACTGCTACTGTTGATAAGCACCAGAGAAACCCAAGAGACCTCTCTTAATATCACAACCACTGTAGCTCGTTCTAAGTTGAATGCAAATCAGGACATGCTCTCACCTTCCCCCATCTTCCTTTGTCCTCAAAAACACATGTCAACAGGCCCCAAATGCAGCTCACAGTTTTACCCAAATTATTCCCATTTTAAGCTTATCCATAGTTTGCTAACATGAATAAATACAAATATAATTCTACAACAACCACAGGACCTAGTGCGCAGCTGCCAACATCTGCCTCCAGCTCAAGGTTATCAAAGGGCAAAACAGCTGCTTAAAGAGCACTTTGGTAATGAACATAAGATCGCCACTGCATACATGAACAAAGCATTTACCTGGACAATGATCAAAGCCGAAGATGTGAAAGCACTGCAAGCCTTCTCTTTGTTCCTAAGAGGTTGTTGCAATGCAATGGAACATCTCACCTATATGGATGAAATGAATGTTGTTTCAAACATGAAACACATACTTCAGAAACTACCCTACAAATTCAGAGACAAGTGGAGGAATAGAGCATGTCAGCTACAAGAAGAGCGTGGGCATCGAGCTACATTTCCTGACCTTGTTAGCTTCATAGAGAGGCAAGTGAAGATACTGTCAGATCCTCTGTTTGGAAGCATCCAGGATGATAAACCAACTGCAGCTATCAAAACTGTTATCTCTACCTTTTCAAAGGGAAACCCAAGCCTAAGAGCAAGTAGTTTTGCAACAATTATTACCTGCCCAAGAACACCAGTGCTAGAACATGTAACAACGAATGGAATGAAAATACCTCCATCAAGCCACAACTCCCTACATTTGTGTTTGTTCTGCAGAAGAAGTGGTCACTCATTGGAGCAGTGTCCACACATCCTGAAGAAAACACACAGAGAAAGAATGGACTTCTTGAAAGGAAAAGGGGTGTGTTTTGGATGCCTAAAAATAGGACACATGAGCAAACACTGCCACAGTCGTTTGACATGTTATGTGTGCAATCAAAGTCATCCTGAAATACTCCACATTGAACAAAAAGGCAAAAGAGAGGAAGCAGAACACACAAAACAGAATGGGAAGCCAATGAAAAGTAATAGTGTCATCTCACCTCATACATGTGGTCACATTGGGGCCGGTGATGAAAACTCCATCTTCTCCATTGTACCAGTACAAGTAAAGAGCCACAAAGGGGACAAAGTGTTACAAACTTATGCATTTCTGGACCATGGAAGTTCATCCACCTTTTGCTCAGAAAGTTTAATGAGGAGGCTAAACCTTACAGGACAAAGGACTAACATTCTCCTAAAGACAATGAATCAGAGAAAGATTGTGTCTAGTCATTATATCTCAGGTTTGGAAATATCGAGTCTGGACGAAAACAATTTCCTTCAACTATCCGATGTGTTTACACATAAAACCATGCCTGTTTCCAAGCACAATATTCCTCTACAAGAAGATCTGGAAAAATGGCCTTACTTAAAGGACATCAAAATTAATGAAATTGCTTCTGGCATTGACCTACTCATTGGGACAAATTCTCCTAAGGTATTGGAACCTTGGGAGCTGATCAATAGCCAAGGAGAAGGACCGTACGCTGCAAAGACCCTACTGGGGTGGGTCTTCTATGGTCCCCTAAAAGGAAGCAACGACAGGTGGGTCTTCTATGGTCCCCTAAAAGGAAGCAACGACAGCAGAGATGCTAATGGCCACCCTGCTGCTGCTGTTAATCGGATAGCCATGGTACACCTAGAGGAGCTATTGGTCAAACAATACAAGCATGATTTCAAGGAAAATACAAGCAAGGAAACAGAGGAAATGTCCAGAGAAGACAAACAATTCCTGAACATTATGAATCACTCTGCAAACATGTCAGACGCCAAAGAGGATGGCGATGTTGTAGCGGACGCCAAAGAGGATGGAGATGTTGTAGCAGACGCCAAAGAGGATGGCGATGTTGTAGCAGATGCCAAAGGAGACAGTGATAGGGATGTTGAAGGCAAAACTGAGGGCCCCCAAGAAGAAGAAGATGAGGGTCGGGATTCAGGCGATTACTATGAAGAGGCAGAAGACGAGCCTTTTGAAAGCCAGCCGACTTCAGACTCCTGTCACAGCATGCCTGACTTCACAGCAGATGTCGAGTTACACCAATCTGACGCAGTGCCTGAGGAAGAAGCCAAGCCTGTGGCCGAGAAAGTGAAAATGTCAGATGGACACTACTGCCTAGACTTGCCATTCAGACAAGAAAATCCCAGCTTGCCTAACAACAAACACGTTACCGAGCAGCTCATCTGCGATTTTGCTGCTATGGTAGCAGGGCACCGGCTGAATCCAAGTGACAGACCTGAAGAAGTGACTGACTCATCAATGCAGGAGCCCTATAAGGAGAGGCTTGGAATTGGATGAAAATATAACCCACAGGTTCTCTCAGCGCTGGACGGGATGGCAACACGACTGCTTCAACCTAAGAACAGCAAAGACTGATGACCCTTAAAATAAGGGAAAAGAAACTACATACCAACACATACACACCTTTTGTATAGCTCCTTTATTATTTATTGGTAATTGTCTTTTTTCTCATACTAAAGCCAATTAGGGGCCGGTGTGTAGGAGCCATTTTGTGGGTGATGTTGGTGTGTCAGTTTATTTAAGTTATATGTATAGTGCAATATTATTTATGAACACTGGGTGGCGGGGTTTAGCTGCACCGGGTGTATATAAGGAGGTCATAGGTGACAAGAGAGGGGGGGACACAGTAGGAGAAGAGCATACCGATTCCACCAGCCCGGCAGATGCTCATAGAATCACTAGAACGCTAAATTAACCCTGGTATGTAAAGACGAATAAACATCATAAACCACAACTAAGGACCGGAAAATCATCTGTTTGTGTCTGCGTCTGGATCACTTTTCAACCCTTCTGTGAAAGTAACGGCAAAAATATATAGGACATAGGAAAAGGAAATTGCCATTACACTGTAGGTGGCTCTTAAAAGAGCCGTTGTGTTTGGGTGTGCTGGTCTCAGGTCAGTCTAAGCCCTCTCTCCGCGGATGCGGCGGGCCAGCTGGATGTCCTTGGGCATGATGGTGACTCTCTTTGCTTGGTTCATCTTACTGGGGGGCAGCTACATGGATGTCGGTGCAGTCCACAATCATTGCGCAGTTGAAGGCAGAATTAATTTATTATTGACTCCGAATGAAGCACAACTTCATGTCACACAATACAATGACTTTATTTGTAATTGTGTAAAAAAATATGAGCATTGATTAGCAAGCAGGACCTGCAGGAACAGAGAATGGTGATGGATGGAGCTGGGAAGAGAGAAGAATAAAGAAAACAGATCAACTTTATTATCGGATATTAAAAATTCAATTTCAAAACAAGTTGCCGCTCCTACAGTTTTCTAGTATGTAAAGATGATTTCACATGACCTATGCAAAATATCACACTCAATACATGTGTGTCTTTGGGGGGTGCATTGTGCCTATGATGTATATAAATAATATACCATAACCAAATACTATTGCGTACAGTGGAAATCAGGTTGCGGCAGGTCAGTGTGCATGTTCCTCAACATCTCAGCAGTTACAGGTGAGGTAAAGAAAATAAAAGAGAAAAAGGTCAGTAACAACACTTTGAATAATTATCTCTTCTAACAATTTTCTCTCAATAAGCACACAACGACTGTCTTTCCAACAAACAGATTGTCATCACAATGAAACACGTCCAGAAGAATGTCATGCAAAGCTCCATGCCTGCCTTCGACTCTCCCTGAACTGCTTCCTTAGCACCCGGTGGATGGCGCAGTAGGCTACTCTTCAAAAGTTTCACGAAATACTTACCATCATGTTTGGTTACTGTTTGACATTTTGGTTTACCTCATGTAATAAAATAATAACTTCATGGTAAGGCTACTAAAAATGACAAGGCTAAGTAATGTAATGCTAACTAACGTGCTCGCTACTCGTCGCTACTAGCTAGGTAGCTAACTTGACTATGTTCCATGCACAACATGTATATTACCTATGATATTACCTGATATGTCTGATCCAGCGACTCCTGGTCCTTTCATCAGACGGGAAGCGATAGAACGAGCAAGTGGTATGATCACTTTTGTGATTACAACCTGGTACAAAGCACACAGGCATCTTGTAAAAGTGAACCAACCACTTGGAGCATTATCGCCTGTGACATCACTTACGCGACCCAGAATGGGATTTGTAGTCTTTGTAGTAGCGTATTTTTCATAGTCTTATATTTCAGCAGTTTTACGACAAAATGTGACTTTTTTTACATGGAAATTATTGTTTAAGATTGGCAAACATCATATGTGTAGTTCGTGGCACAATTCAAACGGGATCAAAAGATACGTGTTCTCTCTCCATTGAATTCAATGTAAATTTTTAGCTTCCGGGGTCCCATGGTCCGGAAGTAGATGGGCGTGACTTCGCCTCCATTACGACGGGGAGAAAATTAGCTTATTTCTTCAATACCTTCCAGGTCATGTGACCTAATCACTCAAAATCAATGCTGGGTCAAAGAACTACACTGGTTGCATAGGACACACCTCTTTTTATTGCATTTTAATACTTTAAATATTTTATATTAATATTTTGATGGAAAAATTAGCCTATTTCTTCAATACCTTCCAGGTCATGTGACCTAATCACTCAAAATCAATGCTCGGTCAAAGAACTACACTGGCTGCATAGGACACACCTCTTTTTATTGCATTTTAATACTTTAAATATTTTTATATTAATATTTGTATGGGAAAATGAGCTTATTTCTTCAATACCTTCCAGGTCATGTGACCGATACACTCAAAATCAATGCTGGGTCAAAGATCTACACTGGTTGCATAGGACACACCTCTTTTTATTGCATTTTAATACTTTAAATATTTGTATATTATTAATTTGATGGAAAAATGAGCTTATTTCTTCAATACCTTCCAGGTCATGTGACCTAATCACTCAAAATCAATGTTGGGTCAAAGAACTACACTGGCTGCATAGGACACACCTCTTTTTATTGCATTTTAATACTTTAAATATTTTATATTATTAATTTGATGGAAAAATTAGCTTAGTTCTTCAATACCTTCCAGGTCATGTGACCTATTCACTCAAAATCAATGCTGGGTTAGGGTTAGGAAAATACACAAGAAGAGGAACAATTTCCAAAGCCTTAACTGGTGGTGTCAGCAATTATTATTACACTATGTTAAGACAGACAGCAGAGGAAATAATGGCTGGTAACATAAGCAGAAGCCTCACCAAAGACGTGTTAAAGAAAATATCCTCTGAAGTGAAGAAAAGTGCAACGCTCCACGATGACATGATGCTTGAACTCATGTTGACTAAAAAAATAATCAAAGAGAGTAGCAGTCATGCATCATCAAAAGGCTATCTTCAGCACCTACAAATTGATCCGTTTGCTGTACATTTATACACAGATGCTTGAATAAAGATATTGACTGAGCACTTGAAAAAGCCAACACCTACGACCCTCTAACTTGATGCCACAGGCAGCGTGATACAGAAAATTCCTGATCAAAATAAGCGGGTCTTGAATTATGCTTTGGTTTTGCCCGAAATGGGTAAGGATAAGCCTCCCTTGCCTGTCACAGAACTGATCACCAACAGCCATTCCATTCCATCTATTTTGCATTGGCTCATGGAATTTAAAAGAAAGTTGTCTTACATAACAAAAAGAAAGATAGCACAGGTTGAGACAGATTATAGTTGGGCTCTGATAAACAGTGTGCTTCTGTCTTTTAACAGGGAAAATATGTCAGTGTACCTTGATAGAGCATTTGAGATAGTGTCTGGACAAACTGAACTGATTCCTAACTTCACTGTGCTGCATCTGTGCTCTGCTCATCAATCAATCAATCAATCAATGTTTATTTATATAGCCCAATATCACAAATGTTACATTTGTCTCAGTGGACTTTACAGCTCATATCATGAAGGCTGTGTCACAAGCATTTGGAAAAAAAACTGTAGACAGAGGCACACAGGAATATGCAACATTCTGTTTTGCGTACATCCTGAACTGCACAAGTATGCAGGAAGCCCTTGATGTTTTTTATCATATGTGTGTGTGCTTTTTGATGCAGAGGAGTACACTCATTCGGTGAAACAGAGCAAAATGTACCTCGACGAGTGCATTTTGCAAACTCGGGACTTGAAACTGGAGGAAAGTGGAAGAATGTAATGGGAGAGGAGGAAAGCAAAATGGAAACAAATGCTCATAGCATTATTGGAAAGTCCCCTTTTACACAAGCTTTTCAAGTCAGGCGGGACCAAGCAGAGTGTGACATTCTCTCTGACGATGCTGTTCATGTAAAAAAACACTACCTCTGTCCTGGTGTCATTGATGCACTGTTAAAAAACTACATGGGGATCTTCCCATTGTGGAGTGGTTTGTTGCTTGGGGATCTGTCGCGACATAGAAAAGGTACCTCTAAAAAAGATGGAAGTCATAAAACCAGGGATACCAACTGCCATGTTGAGCTCTGGTTTGGGTTGGTCAAACACTCCATCCTTTTAAAAAAAAAAAAAGTACCTGAGACCAGCTGAGTTGGTCTCCAAAATGTATGCCTCAATATAAGGAAGATATATAGAGCACATTGAGCAACACAATCTGCCAATGCATATTCTGGAGAAAAAACTTTGGACATCCTAGCAGGCCAGATGATGACCACGAGGAACAGTGGAACAAGCGGGAAAGTTCTGCTGGTCACACCAAGTCCAAGTCCAAGTACTTCAATCCACCAAAAACACTACCCAACCCCAAGAGCCCACCTGCCACAAAGGTGAAGAAAAGAAAAGTGGACCAAAAGGAAAAAGACGCACAGGGAAATGTGAGTTTCTCTAAGACTTACTATGTTCAAAGTGTGTAAATTGTTCTCCAGCATTTTAATTGTAACAATGGAATAAGTAAATATTGTCAGAAAGTAAAGCATGGACTAAATTGGTAAAGAATGAGGTGAAGGACAAAGAACATGAAGTATTATAACCCAAGATGATTAGGTGCATGTTGTAGGGGGAGAATATGAAGATGAAAAATATAAATACAGCTTACAAACTTATAACAGAAACTATATTTCCAAATCACACTTTAAACTGCAATTACAGTTTCTGTTCCTGAGCAGCCTGTTTAATGTCATTTAGTGAAAACTCTAAAAGGGACTGAGGTTACTGACTGAGTGTTAAAATGCAATAAAAAGAGGTGTGTCCTATGCAGCCAGTTTAGTTATTTGACCCAACATTGATTTTGAGTGAATCGGTCACATGACCTGGAAGGTATTGAAGAAATAAGCTAATTTTACCATCAAAATATTAATATAAAATATTTAAAGTATTAAAATGCAATAAAAAGAGGTGTGTCCTATTCAGCCAGTGTAGTTATTTGACTCAGCATTGATTTTGAGTGATTAGGTCACATGACCTGGAAGGTATTGAAGAAATAATCAAATTTTTCCATCAAAATATTAATATAAAAATATTTAGAGTATTAAAATGCAATAAAAAGAGGTGTGTCCTATGCAGCCAGTGTAGTTCTTTGACCCAGCATTGATTTTGAGTCATTAGGTCCCATGACCTGGAAGGTATTGAAGAAATAAGCAGGATTCATCAAAAATATTAATAAAACGTATTTAAAGTATTAAAATGCAATAAAAGAGGTGTGTTCAATAAAAGTATGCTCTAGTCTAGAGTGAATTTGCTTCACATTCACACGATCGAGAAGCCGTCGATTTATTAAAAAGAACATTTTTCTTGTCTAATTGTAAAAGTCATTTGTTGATGGTCCCTAAGTGAACGCCTCGTTTCGCGGAGAAGATCTCCCCGTTAAACTGACGCTGCTGGCGGGTCCGGGAAAATTACGCTGCTGGCGGGTCCGCGAATGTCCATCGAATATCCAAACTAAAACTAAATTCACCGCGGTCGAAGACCGCATGGTTGTCATGGTTGCCCTTCTGTTTATTCTCCGCTGTGGGGGCCGAGGGAACCGGGCAGAGTTTTTCGCCAGTCAACGTGTATTAAAGTTTAAATCTTCCGACAAAATTATAAAAGTGCCGGTCAAAGGTCTTCTTTGTTATTTATTGAGCTTTAAAACAAATGAATAACGACTCTATATAATATAATAATAAAATACACGGAGCCTCTCTTTTTCCTCCCTCTCTTCGGACAGCGTCAGTGTCTGTCTCATGCAGCAGCTGATCCAGTAATGAGTGACCCGGCCGACAGTAAAAATAAACATATTTATAACTAGTTTGGGTAGTTTGAGAGGTGTCTCCGTCCTGTCAGATTAGACTTCACTCGCATTTATGTCCATATCGAGAGAAAGATAAATAATCTGAATTCAGTGTGCAGTTTACTTTGACGCGGGGGTGAGCAGCAGAGGTGGGGAGAGGCGGGGCTATTGCCTCATCATTATCAGAAAATGATCGTATAGGGCGCACACGGAGCCGTTGGACCCCCCAGAGCGTTGCGTATGCCGTTCTATCCACCTTGGGACCCGTTATCGTTTCCGCAGTCGTTTAGTGCCGTATTCGGTCGTCCTCGTGTGGCCGAACGGTCTATATGACACTAAACAGTAACGCAAACGACAATTTTCGTCCTCGTGTGGCCGGGGCATTAGAGGGCTATCACTATGGGCAGCAACGCTGTAAAAGTTGACAAATAAATCCAGCAAAATGGCACAAACAACTGGCAGTGGCCTGGCTGGGTGTATAATTCCCGGCCTGACTTATTGTCCCAGTCCGGCCCTGGCACCCATCATGTGCTGACTGACACCCTGACAGGCTTATCGGGCCTCTCCGGCCTGCTGGTCACTCCCCCCCCCCCCCCCACACCTCTTCATCCCCCCTGATTTCAAAGGACAAAGGCTGACGGTTTTAATGGCTGTGAGTGCTCGTGTTTCTTCAAAAAGTCACTCGTAAATTATAGCGTTGCAGTTTTACTCCCCACTTGGAATATCAAATATATATGAAGTAGCCTAGTATGTCGGGTTAGTAGCCTAGTTAGTTAGTTAGTAGTAGTTTGTCCGGGGACATCTTACTTCTTCCTTCTCTCTGTCTATACCTGTGTACTTTCATTGTTCCGAATAACCCAGTTTCCCCACATTTCTTTCTTTTTGGTATACGCCGGGATCCGGAGTCATGGATGATACTGCGGTCCTGTGTCCTGGATCCCGAGCCCTGGATCTTGAGTCGTGGCTGTGGTCTTGGATCATAGGTCCTGGATGGATATCCTCGTGGATTCATCTTCCTATTATACACACATGCATTTCCAAACATTTGGACTACCTATGTTGCAAATGTATTATCTTTTCAATTTACACACGGCATCTATTGCACGTCTGTCCGTCCTGGGAGAGGGATCCCTCCTCTGTTGCTCTCCCTGAGGTTTCTCCCATTTTTCCCTTTAAACTGTGGGTTTTCTCCGGAAGTTTTTCCTTGTACGATGTGAGGGTCTAAGGACAGAGGGTGTCGTATTGTCATACTGATATTCTGTACACACTGTGAAGACCACTGAGACAAATGTAACATTTGTGATATTGGGCTATATAAATAAACATTGATTGATTGATTGATAGTAAGTTGAAGTATAGGCATACATTGGTAAATAGGGAGACAACAGGATATTCATATGTGACAATGTGTTGCCCTTTTGATCAAGTGAATACTTGTATTAATGCAAGATCATCTGATGGTTATGAGGAAGATCTCTATACTCTGAGCAATACTGCCCCCTGCTGGCCACTGTAACCCACACATGCTCCAAATTAGGAACAAATCTAAAGGTAGTAATTTACATGGGAGAAATACATGTAATATCAGCTAACATTACTCTTTAAGGTCAGGTAAGTGACATGTTTGTGTATTGGTCATATTTGTTTATTTCCTTTCAAAAGTAAAAGTTCGGATAACTATTACAAAAACACAATTTATTAAGTAAAAGTCCTGTATTAAAATGGTAGGTAAAAGTATGTAAGAAGAATCAGGAAAATGCATATAAACTTTAAAGTATGAAAAGTATATGCAATGCAGAAAAACATGACTGTGACTATAATACTGCTATTTATTATTTCATTAGATAATTAATAATCACACATTAATGTTATTAAGCTTCCTTTTCAAGTGTTTTTTCTCCCAAAGCACTCTAATCCCCCTTTATTAAAAACCAGACAACTTTGGTTCACCCTCTAGGGTGGTTTCACTTAACATGGCTGATTAGGCCTTCTCAGGGCTGTACCAACTGTGTCTGATTGGGACTTACCAAAATTACACCTTTAACTGTTATACCAGTAGATGCATTTAGGTGACCTTCAGTAATCCCCGGTACAGTTCCACCCAACTGAAAAAGGTCTAATCAGTCCGAATAACTGAAACAACCTGTGAGTGAGCAGGGTCTTAATACATGGACTTTGGTGTAACCCCTCATGTAATTTCCATTATGGCTAAAGACTGGAGTCTAATTAGCAGATAACTGGAAACACCTGTGTGGCAGGGCCTTTAATAACTGACTCATTTCAGTTAAATTCATTCCTAATTGAGGTGCAATCATGTCAGGACATGACCTGCAAAAGGGACAGTTCACCCTTCAATAAAAAAAAATGTATCCTCTCATTTTGATTGTTTCGTGTGAGCTTTAAGGTTAGCTAATATATTTCTGTAAATATAGTAAGGTATAGGTCTCGCATATTTGAGAGAAGGCATTTCAATGGATAATATCTCCAAAACTCTGCAACTCCAAAACAATCTACAATATGTATTTCTGATTTTGGGGAACACTGTCCATTTAAAAGAGTTCTAAGCAACTAGAATTAGTGAAAACCCTGTGTGAGTGTGCAGGGCCTTTGGTTTTATTCCTCATGTCATTTCCAGCACAGCTCCCCTGCTGAGGCTTAATTAGCTGCTAACTGAAAACACCTGTGTGGCAGGCCTTTAGTAACCCAATTAAATAGAATAACTGACTAATTTCCCCCCCCCCCCCCCCCTACTAAGGGGGGTAAATGTGATCATGTTAGGCCAGCCAGACCTCATAAGTCTTATGCTGTTTCGTGTTCCAGGAGCTTTGAACAAAATACAGCACCTTCTTAACATACATTGTCTTATAACTTATGGCCATTTTACAAATGTCAAACCTGTACTTGTCATACATGACTGTATTTTGTTTACATTCGAATTAATTTCCCCCAAATTCAACCCAATTTCTAAAATACAAGGTTTTTTTTACAGTGAAAATATTCCTGTATTAACATGTCATTATTATTATTATTATTGTCAAATTGTCTTTCTACTGTTTCTGATTTTATGTAAAGCGTCTTTGAGCATCAGGAAAAAGCGCTATACAAATCCAATGTATTATTATTATCTTAATTTACATATTTACCTTTCTGCAACTGTTTAGTTTTAATGGCCATGTTCTTTTTAAATAGTATTGCCTCTCCTCAGTAAGTGTATTTGTTTCTTCTTGTTTTTGGAAATGATGGTGACCCTTCAATTATCTCTCAAGTATAAATAAAGGCTAATTAAATGAGTAATATGATTATAGTCAAATGTTCAAATGCTGGCACATACTGAGCCCCATGCTACTACAGTAATTGAGATGCTACTTTTATGTATGGATGCCAGCCAAGTGATATGAGTCAGTGTTTGGTCAGCAGGAAACCTATTCAATTCATGTTGTCTGCCGAGCCTGACCTCTGACCTCATGTGGAGGGAAGCATGGCGGTCTATCCCCATCTAATGAAGACATTTATATGAAGACATTGATTCATGCGGTGAGCACACACACACACACACACACACACACACTTAATAAAGTGACACAAATGGAACATGTAATCTGTCAAAGCTGTTTTAATAGGTGTCACATGGAGGAAAAGGCTCCCATTGTTAATATCCTCAGTCTTCCTATGTGGGAAAAAACACGCTCACCTCAAGCACTTCCACCATCGTCAAGTGCTCACGTTAGTCAGTTGGTTTTCAACAGTGTCAAATGTTTTGTTCACAAGTTCAGCATCAGTTCAGTAATTATTACTCACAAAAGCAGGACCGACAGCCCTGTCCGCAGAACATGGTTTTCAGTCTTATTTGTTAGTTAAAGTGGATTCACACACATGTTGATGGATGGGACTAGTGAGGGGGAAGTATGCCAGCGTTAGTCTTCCTGTGGTTTACCTGAGCTCGGAGTGATGGCTGAATTAGACCGCTGCGTCTGCGCCTACCTGCCTAATGTTGTAAAAGTAATCTGCAGCGACAGGCTAGCTAGCATTCAGCACTACCTGTTAGATAAGAGGACTCCATAGATGTCTCCTATACCAAACTTTTCATTAATAAAAATACACCTGAATTCTCTTTATATGTACAACAGAAAAGAAACACCTGCATATTCAAGATTCATTTTAATATTAGGTATAGATCTTCTGTATTAGAAATATCACTATTTTCTGAAATGAGGATCCTAATGTAATAATGATAATTTCACCCATAAATCATTGAAGTACAATATTTACATATAATACAGAGCCCATTTAATCTGAAACAATATTAAAATAAATGTTTAATAGATACAAAGGTGTTTTTTTTTTAATTCTATTTATATTTCAACCTTTTCAAGGAGTCCTTACACACTCCAAAAATGTAAAGCCATTCTCCTCTAACAAACTATTAAGTGCAAACAATTTTTTTCCATATAAAAAACTATGATTGCAGCATCCAGCGTTGAGACAGAGGGCAATAACAAGCCTCCCTCCCTCCCTCCCCCCAAGTGCTTTCAAAACTGTCTTCAAAATATGTTGCTTACACAGTCATGAATTCAAAATGGGGGGGAAAAAAAACAAAAAGAAAGAAAATCTGTGGCAAATACACTTTAAAGTGTGATACCACTGATTAAAATATTTGTAAAGGAAGTAAAAACACTCCTGAACAGGTGTCAAGACTGGGGCTGCACCAGAGATCGCTCAGGAAGTGAACAATGAAAGACTCCGCTTCCCTCATCTTATTCCCTTTATGGATGACATTTGAAGAAACAAAATATAGGAACGTTTTCCGAATTAAGCCCATATAAAAAGGTAAGGTTGAGGCATCACCACAATGCTTACAGCATGTCTAGTCTTTAAAGATCTACAGGCACAAAAGGATTGGGTACTAGAGTTTTTTTCAGACTAGACACGACTTGATATGACCGTAGATGGAACAATGAGCCAGTCAATCCCTCCTATAAACCTCCTGGACGATTTAAAGCTTGCCATCTCACTTCCAGTAGCCCCCTTGGTTACGCCCGGACTACAAAGGAGGGGCGTCGAGTTTCTAACCCTGGCTTGGCCAACATCGGTTATCTAAACATGATCACTAACACATAGAGAGCATCTGGTTGGGTTGCCGTGATGAAAATGAAGGTTACACTGGAGGTCGTGTGGTGTGTGACAGTGTGTGAAGAAGCGCTGCAGGGCCTTGGCCACGGTCATCCCCGTCTCTGTTGCATGGAGCTGTCATTAGCAGCGCCAGCACTGGGGCTATACTACTGTTCCACTGGGGGAGTTGGCTGCGTTGTTTGAGATGATAGCAATCCCTGCGGAGAGACAGATAACACACATTGATAACAAACAACAGTGTTACTTGAATGTATTAAAAGAGGCTAGAAGAATAGTGAGGTTAACTGTCGGAGAGGATGTGCTATTAACCATCGAAAAAGCTGAGGTGGTGGGGGGGAGTTTAGTGTAAATCTTGCATGAAATAACCAAAAACCTTTTGTCTGCACACAGTAGCGTAAATGACTTCTGAATGCAGCGAGAACAAAAAAAAGCCTGTGCTCGAGACAGTGTAAGTTAAGAGGCGTCACATGACAGTATCCTCGAGAGGCCTGTCACTCACCACTTTCCCGGGCCTAGCCCATGTGCAAACGAAACCCTCCTGACAGGCTGTTACCAGACAGTCCTCAAGGAAGATTAACACAGTGAGTCTCTCGTGAGCGATCTTCTTGCACACCAGCGGCTCGAGCAGCGGCAAGTCCTCCATGCGCGGGCACAGCGTGGTGCCCAGAGTCTTAGCTGCTTCTGCTTTTGCCGTCCGTGTGGAGCTAAGTTGGTTGAGCTTGTCGCTGCTCTTGCTGCTGATGTGACCCATGCTGTGGTTCCGCTTGTGGTCCTTCTCGTGGCGCTCCTTGCGTGAGTCGTGTAGCGACAGCGTTGCGAACTTGCTGACGCCCGTGGCAATGAACGCACTGTCGATGATGCTGTTGCCCTTTGGGGTGGGGGTGGGGGTGGTGGTGGTGGTAGTGGTGCTGCTGTTGCTGCTGCTGCCTGTGTGACTGTTAGGGGTGCTGCCCCCTGTTGGGTTGGAGGAGTGTGGCAAACTGTTGGACCGAGGCAGGGTGCTGGGGAGGGAGTTAGGGTTGGGGTTTCCGCTGGTGCTACTATTGCTCGAAGTGTCTTTACCATTGGTGCCACTGGGAGTGGTGGCAGGTACAGTAGTAGTAGTAGTAGTCGTGGGCGTAGTAGTCGTTGTGGAAGTGGTTTGTCCAGTGGCTGGAGGGCTCGTGGCACTCATAACATTAGTGTGAGTCCTAGTGCGGGACAAAGGGAGGTGAGGGAAGAGAATGTCCTCTGTTAGGTCCCACAGACACAGCTGGGTGTCCTGGCCCACCGAGCCGAACCTGTAGGTGACGCTTACAGGCCTACTGTCCGTTGAGTTTCTCTTAGAAAGCCGAGAATGAGCGCTGTTAGCCCGGTCTCTGCCCGCACCGAAGTGAATCTGCTCATGGAACTCCTCGTCACTGCCGCTGAACTCAGCAGGAGGGTCGCCGTCCTCCACGCTGGTGGTGCAGTGGTCAAACGCCACCACGCTCACCCACGACTTGTGACCGTGCCCCCGAGCGATCACTCTGCAGTCCGAGAACGACCACACCGTCACCAGGTCGTCCTCCCCTCCTGCCACGATATACCGTCCGTCTGGGCTCCAGCACACACACAGTAAGCCGCCAAAGTAGCTCTTCATTGTCCCGTGGAGCTCCGCGGCGTCGAAGCCAAACACCCGCAGGAAGCCGTCCTGGCTCGCACACGCCAGATACTTGCCATCAGGGGAGAAGGCAAACTCGTTGAGCGCCCCTTCGCCCACCGTCCAGCGCAGCAGCGGGTTGCGAGCCGACTTGCTCTTGCAGGTATGCACTGCATAGTTTTCTCCCTGCTTCAGGAGCTGGTAGTGAGGCGCCGTGGTACCGCAGGTGTTCTCCACGTTGTACAAATACATGCTGCCGCTGGAGTGGGCCACCAGGAACAAGCTCTCCGAACCAGGAACCCATCGCACACACGTTACTCTGGACTTGTCTATAAGTCTCTGGGGGGAGAGGGACAAAGAAAGAGAAAATAAGACACTGGTTATTTCATTATTTCAACAGCGGACAACTAAAACTCAATGTTAGTAATCAAGCCTAAGCAACATAAGCTCAGACGCTGACTAGAACTAAGATTGAAAAATTATTTTACAAATATATTTATCTGATCACCCCATCACCTCTGACAGAACTTTGAATCAATCAAATCTTCAAGCTGACAGCAAGCAATACAGTTAATTGTTTTGCCCTCCCCTAACAATCATATGGAGAACAGCAATGCAGTTAATTAAAAGAGCCTAAGCAGACATGCTGCTCCACCAAATAAATCAAGACTTAAAATCTTAGTTAGTACGTTAAAAATCACATTGATGTTGTTCTCGGAAAAACCATTGTCAATCATCCCCTCCACAAACATGTCTCCAGTCGGCTATAGAACCCACCTCCTCATTGAAGAGTTTGCTGGTTTCCTTCTTTATGGGGTCGATGAGCTGCACCTGGCCGGCAGAGAAGCCCACCAGCAGGGAGACGCTCTCCGCTGTGGCTGTGATGGGGTTGAAGTCGTGACATGTGGGCTGCGTTCCTTTGTATATCCTCTTGTCTATGGGTTTACTAAGATCGGCAGCCTAGACAAAGACAAATACACACTGCTTAGAAAAGACAAGCAACCATTTTGTTCAAACTCATTTATATTTCAGACACTCTCCTTCAAGGCGACCTCTAATACTTCACAACTTGGCGCTAAAGTTTATCCCAGAGTTCTTCTCCAAAGGTTTCTTGTACAGGAAGGTTGACATATAATCTATTTATATAGTGCAGTCGCAGTAAAGAAATGACATTACATTCTCTCAAACACCACCAGGGGACAACTTATCCCAGATCAGGAACTCAGAAATGGGATCAATTAAAGTCTAAGACTCCTAAATCTTTCAATACCTGCTGGGACAAATATCGCAAGAGCATTGTTGGCTGCCATCTTCTCTTTGTTGATGTCTACTAAGTGCCAACCGAATGTTCCTAATGCATGATGATAATGAATTGTGACACATGGAAAGTCATTATCCAAAAATAGAGGAAGACCAGCACAGGCAGACCTTAGAGGTAACTGTTTAAGTGTGTTGGTTGAAAACAGAACTCAAATCCAACATTAGTGATCAGATTAGATTATTCCAGACGTAATCACACAAGTTCGAATCTTGTAAGCTTCAATAAAATGAACCATTACCATCAAAACGGATCTTATTTATTACTGAAGAAATGTTGAACTGTTTCGTTATTGTAGGAAAAAGGAAGTTGAGATAATTCTGTAATGAGTCTAAAAGGAAAATATAGATGCTACTCTCTTGGGATCTATTTTCCTGCATTGAAAAGGACAGACGGAGACAAATGTTAAGGGATGTATTTTAAAATATGTTAAGTGTTGTCAAGGACAGGCTGCTCTAAATAAAATAAAATTCTAATCCCAAAAGGATGTTAAGGTTTCCAATTGGAAACCAAATTCAAAAGAAGCTGGTTCCTGACTACTGGAAGTTCGACACAGTGCATGTTTGTAGGTCAATTCAGTGAACATTTTTAGAATGAGAGAGCATGACACACCACAATCATTTAAATTAAACAGATGAAGCAATAGATATGCAAAGTGTCTCCACTTTGGATAAATGGGAGGGCCACACAGTAATGTTGACAACTTGTCTCGGTCTTTCATTAGACAAATGACTTCTCTTTGTGCTGTCAGAGCTGCAATAAAGGCTTCAATATTGGAGACCATGCCACATCTATATTCAAATGCAGGCCATACAGTCAATTGCAAGGGAGGGAGGCACAATAAGAATCAGTCACAGTGAGTTCAACAAGAACCACAACACAAAAAATGCATTACCAGTTACTAAAGTATGATTTTTGTAAGTCGAGAACAGCCCTAATAAATACAACTTCCCTTGTTTGATTTGACTGGGCTGAAAGATTGTGAGACCACCAAGTACACATGAATTGTAGAAATAGCAGAATAGAGAGAATAGGCTGCCATTGTTAGATTGCGTCTTCTGTAGTGTAGCTGATTCAGGACAATCACTGACTCTCACAGTCCCCGTCCCTGCTAAGCAAGCCCAAACCTGGCTTGCTGCAATGACATCACTGTGTGCAACCAAACAGTGGATCTTATTACATCACATCCAACTCCTGACAGTAAAGTGAACACATCCCTACATCACGAATAACAACCCCCCCCCCCCCCTCACCACCACTCCGACAGCTAACAATGTGACCAGTTAGTGCTGTAATAGATGTACCAAAGTTGACCCTGCTGGTGAGCACTGTTGACAACTTGCCTCCCCTTCACCATTTAATTAAAGCACGAAGATAAACAAACACATTATAAGACATGACAAGCCTTTTCTCACGTTATCCACTGTGATGGAACATTTAGTGTCACAGCTTATCACTGACTGAGATCTTAAAATAACCAGCGGACTGTGAAGCGTACAAAAGTCTCGCCGAAGCAACAACAAGTACTGTGGCGATGTTAGCTAAGAATGCTAATTAGCTCCTAACTTAGCTAGGTCTGCTACATGGCCTTGTCTTGACAAGCTGCGCACTTCAATGACAGAAGCTAGGAGAGTTGACAGCCGGGGTGCAACACGTTTCAAGATGCCACACCAATGGGCTGCTCCTGGACAGTGCGGGCTTGGTTGCTGCAGTCTTTATTGTTTACCTTTCTCACGCCTTTGTAGATATAAAAGTAGAGTTCCCGGCCCACATTGAAACAGATCCTGTCGCCGTTGCCGGACTGGTCGTTTACATTGACGAAGGAGACCTTGACGGGATTGGAGCCCTGCGAGTTGAAAGGCACCCTGTTCGGGCGGCTGTATTCGGAGTGAGTGAGGAGTTTGTAGACGCCTTCTCGGGTGGTGAATTGAGTTTTAATTTCGTTCATCTCCTTCCCTCCTCCCTCCGCCGCCATCTTGGAAATTGGCGTTCATCCTTGTCCGAGCCCCGGATGTTAGCGACAGCGCATGCGTTGCAGCGTTGAAGTTCTGCAGCCATGCGTACAGAGAATATAGTCATGTGAGACAAAACTAGAAAAATAAACATAGTGTATAAAAACCCAATGAATGATAGACTTTATAGATAAAGTAAATCTATGTAATGCTGTTTCCTTCTAAAATAAAGATAACAACTAAGTAGCTGTAATTATAGGCTGGATAATCGAATATATAGGCAAATATATTTCTATAAAAGTGATATATAAAGTCACAATTGTATAGAATGAATACAATAAGCATATATTATATTTATTAAAGGTGCAATTGAATTTGTTAACCATCACCATCAAATGTTGTAAGCTATTACTCTTTACCCAGGGAAGAAGCAGCAACAAATGGTCAATCTTTGTATGATTAAAATATAGAAAAGCAATGGTTTAGTGTAATTAAAATAAAGAAATCAATGTGGTCACACACAGTAAAAAATGGGAAATCTGGCTCATTCCTTCAGAAAATATAATCTTAAAGTATTTGCAACAGTTCTTCATGTTTCTCAGTGTTATTCAGCCTCTAAGTGAGGATATATTTCTATTATATAACAGATCTGTGGAAAGTGTAATACACTGCCATCCTCTGGTCAGCTGAAGTCATTAACACCCACACGAGACAATAGCTCTTCTATCTTATACAAGGTTTAATTTACTGTAACGTTGTTTATTGCAAATGTTATAGGGGTATTAGTAGCAGCAGTGCCCCTTTTTACATTATATTGTAGCCTAGTTAAGCTTTGCAAATTTGCCAATTTCAATATACAAAACATTTCTAAATTGTACTGTTACTAGCCATAAGACACACATGTCGAAGTTCCAGGACAGAGACTACATTGCTACAATGTTTTTACCCTAATTCCACCTAATGTTACCTCTTGATGTCATAACAAGGCCTGTTAATCATCCCCAAAACATTCAAAGTTGCAACTGTGGCCAATACACTCTGAAATGTGTTCATGTTAAGATGTCTGATTCTGTTTAGTCCATAAGATAGGGCTGAAAGATCTAATAAATGTCATGATTATGGGGTTTGGTTGATAGTTTTATTTTTAAATGCATTTTCCTCCTTGTGTCTTGTCTGGTTGTACTTCCTGTGTTTCCCTCCTGTGCCTGATTGTCTTTAGTGTTCACATGCTGCCTCTGTGTTTCACCTCCCCCAGTTGTGTCTTGTCTTGTGATTACCCTTGTGTGTATGGTTTGTGAATGTTTAGTTTTTCTTAGTCATCAGCTTTTTATAAATTAAAGCGTGCCTTGTGTTATACTCCAATACTTGCCTCCCCTATTTTGTCCTGCATTTGGGTCCTGCCTTCCTTACCCCACCGTGACAATACTTGTTCTATCAAAGATCTTTAGTAGTGTTTATTCATATTAATTATATTAATACATCACATATACAAATAATAACTTAAGTACAATTGTTTAATGTGTAGCTCAACTCTGAGATTACCCCCAATCTCACACACCTACAAAATAAATGGGCCTGCTCAACATAGGAGGCCCTAAAGTGTGTGTGAGGCACAGACAGCAGCTGATAGCAAAAGGCCTGGACAGCTGTGACGATAGCAGGGGGGTATGGGGCCTAAGAGTTTTAGATAGGCTATCAGGGCAGCTCTGAATGTGATTGACAGGCACTGCTTGTGACTCCGCTGCCCTATAAGGGCACATAAACTTTAGGGCTCTCACAACCCCCTTCCAGGCCTTTCCTTTACACCCCCCCTTAAAGTAGTGAACACATTTTCTGGAAGCTTCTGAATGGGAGCTTCTAGAAACCACCCCTTGAGTATAAAAAGACACCAGCTTGTTGTGAGTGCTGCATTGATTCACTTGAACACATCAAGGGAGAGTTAACTGCCCAGGAGAGGAGCAGCAAGCACACTTGGAGCTCTTCAATCATTTGAGGAGAACACATTTTACAAGGTTTCATCAAGAAGCGACTGTAGGAATACATTATTTTCAAGGTAAGACTTAAACATATCACATTAAGTACAGCTATGTTTTTTGCATTGCAAAGTTAAAATGTATATGGTGTTATATTTTACTAGTTGATTAAAGGAGAACACAGTAAGAACAGCAAGAATACTTGCTTCATTTTAGAATACATGAAAATTAAACAATTGTATGATAAAATTGTGCAAATGTAACCAAAAGTACACTTATCAGTATATCAGGTATTTTTTGTGTGGCATAGTAGCACATTTACCATTACTCTCTAAGTGAGATTGTAACATGCAGGGAACACATGGCAAGCAGGGTGACCCTACAGTATGTGTGAGAGCAATGGCGGAAGATCATGGAGACCGGCTGGCACAAACAGCAGGCACAGCAGCTTCACATGCTGGTGCAAAAAACATTACAGAAGTGCGATTTGTTAGAATGTAATTTAGTCAAACTAACTTTTTGTTAGGCCTATTTTCATGTTGAAGGTTTGAAGAAATTATACCATCAGACAATTTCATTTCTCATTCGCAATAAATCATTCATGTTCCACAGTTGTAGAACATTAATGTAGAACAGATGTCGTTTTCTTTACTAGGTGATATACCTTCATTTAAAATTTTAAATAAAGGTGTTGAATGACAAAGCAGGAAAGCTTTGGGGGTTGGGGAAGGCACCAGAACTCCACCCATTAAGCAAATGGCAGCTTTGATTGACAGATGGAACAGGTGTTCATCTGCAATAGCTGACCACTTCATGCCACGAGGCTGTCTTTTACAAGGGGGGGGGGGGTCAATAAAACAGCAGGAGGCACGGTTTCAACACACACATTACAATTGTATTTTAGAGCAAATTATCATGTCTAAGCGTAAGAAGCATATTTATGAATGCAGAATAACTCAATGTTATATGTGGCTCTTTTTAGATGCCTGCCGCCGGAAACGTTGTGGAGGAGGATGTGGAGACCTTTGCTTTCCAGGCTGAGATTGCTCAGCTGATGTCTCTTATCATCAACACCTTCTACTCAAACAAAGAGATCTTCCTTAGAGAGCTCATCTCCAATTCCTCAGATGTAAGTAAAATCAGCCCTTTTATCATTTAAATGTGGAAGCCCTCCCATGTTAGCAAGCATCACCATTTCACAATGTTATCCCTTTAGGCCCTGGACAAAATCAGATATGAAAGCTTGACAGACCCCACCAAACTTGAGTCCTGCAAAGACCTGAAAATCGAAGTGAGGCCCGACGTGCTTGCTCGCACACTTACCTTGATTGACACTGGTGTCGGCATGACCAAGGCTGACCTGATCAACAACCTGGGCACAATCGCCAAGTCTGGTACCAAGGCTTTCATGGAGGCTCTGCAAGCTGGAGCCGACATCTCCATGATCGGTCAGTTTGGTGTGGGTTTCTACTCCGCATACCTTGTGGCTGAGAGGGTGACAGTCATTACCAAGCACAACGATGACGAGCAATACATTTGGGAGTCTGCAGCTGGAGGCTCATTCACAGTCAAAGTGGACTCTGGTAAGTTCCCTCTTTGATATGATAATAAATATTCAATAATTTGCATGATAGTTATAATTTGACTCATAATCCAGTTCTCATCATTGATTTGTATTGCTACTTCTAGGAGAGTCCATTGGCAGAGGCACAAGAGTTATCCTTTACCTCAAAGAAGATATGACAGAATACTGTGAGGATAAGCGCGTCAAGGAAGTTGTGAAGAAGCACTCCCAGTTCATTGGCTACCCTATTACACTTTTTGTAAGTTGTACCTTCCTTTACCAAGAATACACATTCAGACCTAAAACTTACTGTGACCTATGATATTTACACAGAGGTGGGAGTAAGTCCTACACATGCAAGTCATGAGCAAGTCTTAACCTACAAGTCTTAAGCAAGTTCCAAGTCACTGTGGTGAGAGTCAAGCAAGTCATTGCTCAGGTCAAGCAAGTCATACGAAATTCTGATGAATAACCCCAGTGTCCGCATTTAAATCAGTTAAAATATTGTGGTTATGAAAAGTTTTATTTTCAACATAAACAGCAATGGAGAGTGGGGCGCTGAAATGATAACCCTATAAGTTCTAAAAGGGCTCTATGATAACAGGAGTACAACACAAATATTTGACAACATGTTAAGCCTCCTGCCCTGGCTCCACTTCAGCAGGGTCAGAGTATTTCTCTTGTCTAAGGTGTTCTCATATGACCTTGACTCATTGTTTTCCTAACTGTCTGTGCACAAAGAAATATTGCATCTAAGCCAATACAACGGAATAGTGTACCAGGGTACATGATATGTTTGTGTGCAGACAGTGCGACATTAAGATGAAACTAATTTTTTTCATTTGGGAACACCCACATATACATATGGAGTTGGCCAGATGTGTGTAAATTACTGTTCATGGTAATTTGAAAACAAATGCCATTGTCGGACACACCGAAGACACACACAGCAGAGCCGAGCACAAACACACACGCATATCATGTGCCTTAGCGACTGGACATCTCCTTCATAAAACGAGTAATAGGGGGATTAATCGTGGAGTTCGGTGGGTGTGGTTTAAAAAGTAGCAGCCTGCGGTCGCTCTTTAGCTGTTTTTAATTCAAGTAAGTGAAGGCGTTGCGTAAAAGGCACAGCTCTTTGTGCGCTGGTGCTGCACTTCTCAGAGGCGAATGAGAGTCCGAGTTAGAAATATATCTAAAATAATGTTATGGACTGCCATTTCCCAACATAAACATAACAGTCTGCAATGAAACGGCTGTCTCCTGTGTGCTCCACTTCCTACTTGGCGCTCCAAAAAAAAAAAGATACTGTATCTCGTTCGCACGAGAAAAACGGAAACTCTGATTAACTTTCTCGTGCGAACGAGATACAGTATCTTTTTTTTTTTCATTGCCCTTTAGGGGCTCCGTAAAATACAAATGCAAATATTTAATTTAGTCCTTTTCGAGTAATCTGTCTCAAGTCATGAATACCAAGTCAAAGTCAAGTCTTTAATCAATGTTAGTCAACCAAGTCTCAAGTCCAAAAATATGC